TTGCTCTAGATTTTAGAAGACCACAATAAAAATATTGTGATACCATCTTTTTACACAAGGAAGTTGATTCTGTGTGAAAATCATGAAATGTTTTAACAGCGAAAACAATAATAGCGTATCCTTTTTTTCAAAATAATATCTTTTTCTCCGAGATTTAACTTCAGAATTGCAGACTAACATTAAGAACAATAATAATAGTAAAATAACAATAATAATAATAATAATAATAGCTAGACTACGTACAATGAATTATAGGCAAAATAATATCCCTTATGTTTTCTAATTTGTTCTATTTTTCGTAGTCAATAATAAAAGTATTACACGTACAAAACATAAAAAAAAATTACTAAAATATTTAAATTTGATACATTAAATATAATGGACAATATCGATTATAATGTTTTCCAGTGTGTCTTTATTTTCATAGTAGTCGATAATAAAAAACTGTACACGTACAATTTATTTATTTATTATAATATATTATTATTTACCACAATGCTTAAATTTAAATTGTTGTTCTTTTGACTTTGAATTCATTCAATGGTGATTACGAGTATACATACCTCAATGTAATTAAATTACACTTGTGGATATTTTAGTACATTACAACACTGTTTATATGATTCAGCCGTGTACTACAAGATTCGGAAATGGCTCAACCGTTTCTATATTTTTTACGTGATTTGACGAGACCCAAAAGTACGAAATGACACGAAATTGTAATTTTTTTTTTTTTATTAAACGAAATATACCCTCGGCGACATAGGCCACTGGGAAATTGTAATTATTGTTCTATTGCTGTGTTCATATTTCACGCATAATTTTCCTACAATAATCGTATTATCTATATATCATTATATGTTTATTGTTTACACTATATACCTACGAGAAGAATTTTCTACTTCTTGGTATTATTGTTTTTGCCGATTACATATTTTTCACGATTTAAACTGGTACCYGTGAGGTAAATCCTCTYGGYGATAAAATCACGCGGTTTCGTTTTGTTTTTTCCTTACTCCAGCTAAGGAGTATAAAAATGTTTTGTTAGTTTTACTACACAAATAAAATAATAACACGTACTTACAAATAATATATGTATATTATCAATATACAAGCTGTAAAACGTATTAAATGTGTTTAGGCTTTATTGTTATATAACAGGTATTTAATATGCACCATGGATTTAAAAGCTATACATATATATTATATAGGTAGCTACTGTTTATTTAATATTTAATTTTTCAAAATAAAATTCCCTACAAATTCTTTAATTAAAATAAATGAATAGTGAATACATTATACATAATATATATTTTTATGTTTTGCTTCCAATTATTTGACTTAGGCCTATTTATGAATCCTTTCAACAGGATAATATACAAAATACCTACCTACTGTTGGCAGTATATAATTATGCGAAGTAAAATATTTACCATCGTATCCTCTTGAAAGTACAAATGTACCTTATTTTTATTACGTTCCGTTGAATACAATTAATAAAGGCTAACGCAATTATTATTATTTACTATAAGCTAGGGTGTACCTGAAACGAATTTTATTGTAAATATTGTTTTTAAAATAAAATGATATTTATATATATATATATATGTATATATTGGTCTGATGTAAAATCCTATTTTTAAAATCAAAATTATTTTGGTAACAAATCGTCGTTACTCGTTATAACCGTTTACGGCCTTGTAATGATTCCGGTAAAAAAAAAAAATACAAAGTGCTGCAATCACTGTATGGAAAACCAACTCGCATGATTCTATACGCGTATTATAGAAGAGCCCGTAAAGTCGTTTCATTGATTTCAATGGAAAAAACAGCGACTAAGGAGAAAGTCGCCGAATCAAAAATACATCGAGTCTCCAACTCCGGGGGTATATTATAAAGTTTGAGAGTAGTTCCGTAAAACGTTTTGAATAATTTAAGTTTTACGACCGCGGGATTTTGCGCTCATACATTATATATCGCGACGGTCGTCGAATCGTGCGTGACTACACTATTATCGTATTATCGTGTGCGTCACGAGTCACGTGAGTCGAGGGTAGATCACGTCGGGCGTCATCTGGGGGACACATTTTTTTTTTCTTAAGGCACCTTAAGATACCTGGGCTTACACTTATCGTATAACAAAGTCATGAAGTAAAACCTAATCAAGAAAACATTTTTTTACTCCTTTTCRGCGGCGTGCGTGCATTGCACCGTGTGACTGATRCGATATATTCAACTTCTAATAAAAATKTGCACATGACACTCGTTGAGAATTGACTATGAATGTGTGCCAATTGATTCATTAGACGTTTTGTTTGTATTTTCGTTTTAATATATGTCTATCGGTTGTTGGTTATCAACCGAGGGTCAAGTTTACGTCGGGCGTCATCCCGAAGACGCATTTTTTGCGAAGACATCTAAAGAGATCCAGCTCCCGGTAGGTACTTATCGTGACGATATTATCATAAAGCATAAAAACATGTTTTGCTTCATTTCGGGTATGGCGGATTGCGTGGTCATTTAAATACAACTTTAAAAAATGTGTAATCGATACTCATTAGGCATATTTTATTAACGAGGCATGTGTAATTGATAAAATGATAACTGTACGGCTTGTATGTTTTTTTTTTTTGTTTTACGATATACGACATATCAGTTATCACTATAGGACCCAAGATAAAGTTGGGTGTCGTTAAACATACGCCTTTTTATTTTTTTACGTAGATAGACTTTTAAAGAGACCCAAATCCCGGGTGTATACAAAGTCATGAAGTACCTTAAGTGCAAGAAAACATGTTTTGATTCTTTTTGAGGTGCATTGCATGGTTGAATTTTAAAAATGTGTTCGACACTCATATTGAACATTTATTAACAATAAGTGTGTGCCTTTAAAAATTGAAGTATCTGTTACATGAAACGAACTATATGTACCTGGAGCCTGGAGGGTATTGTCCTGAGAGCACCTAAAAAGTAATGCACTTTACATACTGAAATCCGAACCATACTTGTCACGTCATATACGTCATACTTATAATGCAGTCATCGATTGTCTGCTCGCGATTAATTATGACTGCTAAAAAAGGACAGTGCCAGTGCTTAAATTGTGGGAAAGGGTGATATTTGCTTTTCTTCAAAAAATAAAATATATACATATATATTTATGATCATCAATAAGACGTTTAAAATGATATTTTTTTTCACACTTTTGCATCCCCCTTTTTTATTTTTTATACCCGACTCAAGAATTGCAGCAGGACAGTCGTATTATATTTACCGATAAATGCACGCACATACACTGCAGCCGCTGTGAAAACAATCAATTACCTAAGCTACAATAAAACACGATGACGATCGCGAATATTATTCGGAAAAGTTTTTTTTTTCCGTAAAGAGCGCTCTGGTGGTCAGACCGAGTGACTGCATGTATATTTGACTACCCCTTCGCGTACGTCCGAATACCCTCGTGAAGCCGGACAAGTGTATCTACGCGTAAAACTGCTCGCAGTGATACCGCGTGTCCTAAAGGGTTAAAGTCCATTGCGGTGGACCCGTTCTACGGTATATTATTATACCAAACAATCACCGACAACTGTAATAATTAGGTATTATCATTATTATTATTATTATTATTAGTTGTAGTAGTATTTTTATTATTATACCATCAGATGGTAGCCAACTGTAATGTGTAACTACGTAATAATAATCTGTCGAATTTGTTTTTCGAACGACATTCATACCKCGAATTGAGCACATCTATGATACGACGTATGTATTTTGTGTGGCTGTATGAACAGTTCTATGCAGTTTGATACTGCATCAGTTTACGACGAAATTCGTCATCCCAATTAATATGTTGTTTACGTGCTTCCAACGGATATTGTAATTGGTATTTCAGTATTATTTTGTTTTTGTTTTCTGCTATTCCATCGTCGTCATCAATAATAATAATATATTATTCTATATTAACATAATATCGATATATTATTCAGCAGAACGCAAAGTGATCGGCCTTTTGAACATTATATAATAATATACTATTTCCACAGTATTACGGTGAAACAAGATAATTGCAATCACCGCACTATAAAATTGAGAATCATTCCTTATAAACGTCGTCCAATATAATATATATATATATATATGGTATGTTCTGTATAGTGTAGTTACATAACATACGTTCACAATACTAATAACCTTTGTTACAGTCGCGACTCTAGATCGTTAAAAATAATGAAGATACAACATCGRAACTCTTTAATTTTGGAACTTTTAATATGCTGGTCGTTAGTTCGAACACTGAAATCGAACAAAATAAAAATAGGTGAGCATTTTTAAGAGTATTTTTTATTTATTTATTAAAGTTAAATTATTAACAGTGTATACATAATATACTTGCAGTTCGTTCAATTCCTAATTTAATTCATACTTAAATCGAGTAGATGGAACGTTTTATTTTAAATTTTAATATTGTTCTGATTACCTCTATAATATGAGTTTGTCATTATTTCGATAAAATAGTATAAACACATTATTAGATTTTGAACGAAGTGATGAATGTATTGATTTTGCAATGATGTGTGTTTTTTTTTGTGTGTCTGTGTACAGCATAACTATTCGAAATAATGCTTCAATTTCAAACTTTGGTGGTGGTTTCCGATGTAAAAATGAATATCCTTGGTGCATTATAGAGGTCAATAACATTTTCCAATAGTTTTCAAAAAAATCGAGAAAAGCAAACAAAAAAAAATTACAGAAAATCGGGAATTTTCACGCAAAACCAGTTTTCGACCAAATCGATTTTTTTATATGGTTGTAATTCAAAAACTAATCACCATAAATACTTGTAAATAAACAAATGTTTATTTTAGTGTTATCTATATACAGTTTAATTTTTTTCACAAATTTTTGACTTTTTTTGAGTTATTTATAGACCACTGAAATTTTCATTTTTATTGAGAATTTTTTTTCGAAGTGCCGGTAAAAGAATGTTGGACGACCAAAACAACTTGAAAATTTAATACAAGGTTCCTTATRAGTTGTTCTTATTGTAGCTAAAAAAAATTAAAAATCGTTAGTCACAATTTTTTTTATAAGCGTTTATTTTTTAAATTTTTACGAAATCTGTCGAAAATGCGAAAATTTGCAAGTAATTTTGAAGTTGAAAAATCATAAAATTTTTTGTGTTTATAACTAAGGATTAAAAATACAACACTAAGTTTTCTATTAGTTTTCCTTCAAGTTGGTATAGAGAAAACTCGAAACATCATTATAGGAAAAATTTTAAGTGCGTTTGAATTTAAAATTTTTACGAAATTGCGTAACGATAACGATTTATCCTCAAACGATTTTAAATATTTGTTATTATTCAAAAAGTATAAGTCGTAGATACTTGAAAATATCACAAATTATTTAGATTGGCATTTCCTTTATATGATTTAATTTTAAAAATCACGAAATTTCGTAAATTATTTTATCCTAGAAATTCATAAAAAATTTTCCTATTATATCTAAGATTTGAAAATTTAATACAAGACTCCTAAAATATTTTTAAAATAGCAGTTGAAAAATAAAAGAAATGCATAGTCACATTTTTTTTACAAGCATTTAAATTTTAATTTTGACAACATACGTAAAAATCACGAAAATTCACAAAATTATTTTAAGCTAGATATTCATAAAAAATTTTCTTTTTAAGTCTAAGATTTGAAAATTTTTAATAATCTATAATATATCCTATACAGATAAACCGTCTACGTTCAGAATCGTTTTTCGTATACAATGATACCTATCATTGCATTCAAATTTAACCTACCCTAGTCAGAGGTCCACCCCACCCCCCAATGTACAGCAGAGTGATACCCACTTACCTGCTTTTTTTTTTATTATTTCTTCGAATTTTAAAAAATCTACAGTAAAAGATACGCACAATTGCAGGAATATGCAATTTTACATTATAATTTTATTATAAATTGGAAAACATTTACAACTGCAATTGAATTCTAAAAATTCTAAAAAAYGAAATTGAATAGATATCAGCTTAAACACKTTTACTCTAGCTGAGACTTTGAGGTTTCATTAAAGCACTTTTAGCATAATACTACTAAATAAACTCCAAATATAGGACATCATTATATAAAAAAAGCCATATCAAATATTAAATTATGATCAATAGTGTAAAATGTGACCTTTTAATTGTACAATTTTAGTGTTACAATTTAAAAACGTTTTTATGCCGAACGAACGATATATATTTTTATCATCAAAACTAAAGAAATGTTTCCAATTGGTCTTAGATGGTTTTAACAATCAAACTGGGATTGAAATACATTTTCCAATACTCTTATTTTTATGGCAAAAGAAAAAAAAAATAAATATAACACAATAAAACCAACTGTCACGACATTTGAAAGTCTATTCTGGTATAAAATAAAAAAGCATTTTATTGTTGGCTTAGTTTTTAACTTTT